GGCAGCTGCCTTGCCTTCCTAAGGGGAAGCAGGCCCACCCACCTCTGAGAAGCCACACCCACTTCGTGGCCACGCCCCTGCTTGGGAGGCGCGTGCACTCTGTGTGGCGCTCAAAGGCCAATCTGCGCAGCGAAGCGTGCCTCAGCGGTCCCAGACTTGCGGTGACGAGCAACAGCCACAAAAGCACATCCATGTGGGCATGCGCTGACATTCCCATCTCTCTTTTTAAAAGCAGGCTGTGATAATGTGTCGTCCATATTCTTCACCTCTCTTCTCTCCCTTTAGAGCTCCTCATACTTCCTCATCTACAAAAGGCCTGAAGTCAGGGCCAAAAGAGCCTGAGAAGTGGGGCTATACAAAGAAGCAATCTCCCCTCAACAAGGACCCCGGCTTGACTACAGGCTGGAGGAGCGGCAGGTTTTCTCCGAAGACTGACCTGTAAGGACACTTGTCTTGCGAATAGGAAGCTTCTTACAGAATGAAAAGGCCCGCCTTGCCAGCACTCTCACCCGAATTCTTGGAGGAAAAGACATAAGGGGAAGCCTGGCAGTCAGAAGCTATTCAGTGTGTCCATGATGGCCTGTTGCTTTCCTATACACAACCCAAATGGGGCCCCAGGGCTATGCCCAGGTCAGACCCCAGCGGGACCAGAGACCCACTGATGGATGATCCAGAATCTGGGTCCTGCAGTCAGTGCCAAATCCAGACCAAAGTGTCGTCCACATGACTACACTGAGTCCTTCAAGAGGGCTGCCCGACTGGTGCGCTCCTAAGATGCTTTCCTGTGTAGTGACTATAGTGTTCGGGGTGGAGGCACACACGGGTTGGGGGAGATGTTGTCTGGCAGGATGTCCCCTCCCTTTCGACAAGAGGATGCCCAGCAGGGAGGACGGATGGGACTCAATGGTTTTCCTTCCTCCGTTTCTGGCAGGTGAGACATTGTGGGGCCTTGAGGACGGTGCTTGAGTTTGGCTTTGCCTAAAAAAGGAAGCAATACGGTTGAGCCTGAGACGCCTGCTGCAGGAACAAGTAAGAGCTATGTCCTGCTGCCGTCCCCCACTCCCTTGCCGGGAATCTTGGCAGTGGGTGTTGGCTTCACTCCACAGACCTCAGCCCTTTGAATGGACCAGAAAGTTCTTGATGCTTCTGCCTGAGTCTTGAGACAGGAGCAGTGTGTGTGAGTACCTCAAAGAGTGTGCCTCTCAGGGAGGCACCAACTAACCTCCAGCTCCCAATGCGTGAGGTTGCTGTGGAGATGGCACTGTGAACAAGCAGAGGACATGGTTGGGGTGTGAGGGGGTGGTGAGGGTCCCCAACAGAACCATTTTATCTGAGGCTTGTTCTGCCAGGGAGCTGGGTCTTGAAGGAAGCAGAGATTCATAGCCCTCAGGCCTATAGTCACACCTCAGCCTGCCCTGTTTCCATTCCTTCTGGAAAAAGTGAGATCTTCTTGGCTGTGACTCAGGCCCTTGAGGAAGCAGCTGCCCTCCTTCCTCTGGCCTCACCATCAGATGGAGAGGGCACAGGAGGCCCAGTCTCAACACAGTCCTTCCAAGCTGGGCTACCTGCCTGACTTGAGCTCAGGCCTAATTGCTCCTGCTGCCAAATTCCTTGGGACACCCTTCCCATCATCCCTACCCCCTGAGCAGCCAGCAGAAAAATCTTAGCTTTTGTCTTGCAGTACTCCCCACCTCCAGAAGACAGACATCCTACAGGGTATGGGGTCAGCCAGGTGTGCAATGGTCAGGTTCAGAGCAGACACGAAAGGAAGAAAAAACAGAATAGTCCAGAAGCCCTTTCTCTAAATCGAGAAAGGCTCAGGGAAGGGGAAAGGGCAGAAATGTGGTCATAGGCAAAGATGGGCCAGGCCAGGGTGACCTTGACCCCTCAGTCGTCAAACTCTGGGCTGACTGCCCCTGCCTGTTCCTGTCAACCTAGGAACCCAAAAGGAAGGACAACCTTTGATGCTAAGTCTGTTCTGCCACAATAGCTTTGGCTCAGAACAGGGAGTCCCTGTGCCTTACTTCCTGGAACAGCTGGCCTTCCCTGTCTGTGTCTGCAGGCAGGTGGAGGGGTTTCCTGAAACTCAGAGACACTGTTCTTAGAGTGTCCCTGCTTTCAACCAAGGACCCTAGGGAATGTTTCTTTCCTCCCACAGTCAGGCTTCTGCAGAGAAGAAGGGCCTTTTGTCCACAGATGGCTGTGGTCTTGTTCAACCCCGGGAAAAGGGCAGCTCCTAGGGCCTCTGACCTGACCCTTGACCCAATGTAATGACAGAACTGCCTGCCCTGCCCCTGCCTCTCCATCCGAACTATGAGCTGCTGTTTGTCATATTGTTGCTTTGTTTTTTTCATGGAGGAACACTGTTCGCTTGCTCACTGATTCATGCTTAACTAGCTTTCTTATACAGCCAGCCAGCCTAGGACCACTTGCTCAGGTAATGGTTTAGCCATAGTGGGTCCTCCTACAACAATCCCCCACAGACATGCCCACAGACCAGTCTGATCCAAGGATCCCTCAATTGAGACTTCCTTTCCAGATGAACCGGGCTGTATCAAGTTAAAGCTAACTAGGATGAGTGCCAAGGGGGAACTTCTCCCACTTCCACCAGGCTGAATACTCTGAAATGCCATCTTTCTTTCTTTCTTTCTTTCTTTCTTTCTTTCTTTCTTTCTTT